AAAGAATGAGCTAACCTATAAAGGAACACTTTTTATGAGTGTTGGAAAATGGGACACAGTGCAAGTGCAAGGACGCATTTTGTTGTTTGGGGTGATTTTGCTTTTAGTTTTCTCAAAACCATACAGTAAAATGCCTTGGAAATAAATACAGTGATAGTCAGGCTCACTCTGAACACATATCAATTGAAAGAATGAGCTAACCTATAAAGGAACACTTTTTATGAGTTTTGGAATATTGGAAGTGCTGGAAGTGCTAGGACGCATTTTGTTGTTATACACACACACACACACACACACACACACACATAAATTAAAATTTAAATGTAATTTTGTATTTTTTTGTATTGTATTATTATATTGAATTGTATTGTATTGTTATTTTATATTGTATTGCATATGATATTTATATCCATCTGCTCATAAAAAAGGAAATATATGCTTTTCATATAATTTTATTAAACCTGCAAGCTTCCCACGGTTGAAAACCGATGCATGTCACATTGTAACAGTCTCTGCTTCTAATAGAGAGAAGCTGGTCTACTTTGAATAAGAGATTGAATCTAACAGGCTTTGCTATGTAAATGCATGCTAATTTATGCGCAAGTGATGTGCAGAAGTTGAGCAGATCAGTTGTAGAGGGGCAAGGGGACGTGATTTCTGTTCCATGTTCATTTGTCATCATCAGTGTTTTTTACAAGGTGGTCAGGGAGTGATCTGATCCAAAGATCCCCCTGCCATGCCTCTCAAACAGAACAGGGGTATAAATACAGAGAACATGTACATGCTGAGCTCAAGTCATTTCATTGAACTACGCTTGAGAAATCACATAGTGTGTCCCCCAGTGCAATAGTAAATTCGGTTGGTGTTAATTGCTGACTTATGACTGTATAGCTAAATGGAGAGTATAAATACAGAAGAGGTCATGATGATTTAATGTCTATAATACAAATGCATCCAGATTCAGGTGGTTGTTTTTCTGAGCATTGCAATTTGTGCTTGACATTACCTCAGCTATTTCATATTAGTCATTTGTAGGATGCAGCAAATTGTTCGGAAACTGACCTTTTGCAAAATGCATTTACACACACACACACACACACACACACACACACACACACACACACACATATATATATATATATATATATATATATATATATATATATATGAAGCATGCTTTGTATAACTCTGCAATATGTGTTCATAAACATTGACAGGTGTCTTTATCAGCAGTTCAGTTTATGTGTGCTAAAGGCGAGGACAGAATGTAGGGACTGTAAGACAGTTTGATTAAAAATTGTTGACAAAAAATAAAAATAAATAAAGTTTCCCTTTTATTTGAGTTGTCATATTTGTATTATTCATGTTTTATGCAAACTAACTTTAAACTCGGTGTAACTGAAAAACGTCTCATCCATAAAGGAGTACTAATGGCGGTCAGGCCTGACTAAAAATGAAAAGGTGTCTGCTGCCCTCATGTGGCTCTGAAAGGAGCTCGAATATAACGCGAATATTTCCCACCAGCTACTTCAGGTGAAGGCAAGAATCGCCTACATGGCCAGTGGGCAATGCTTAAAGGGATAGTTCACCCAAAAATGTAAGTTCTGTCATAATTTACTCACCCTCATGTTGTTCCAAACTGTAAGAGTTTATTTCTTCTGTTGAACAAAATAAGATATTTTGAAGAATGTTGATAGTGAAACAGTTGCTGGTAGCCACTGACTTCTATAGTATTTAGTTATTTTTCCGTACTAGGGAAGTCAATGGCTATCTTCAACTGTTTGTCTACCAACATTCTTCAAAATATCTTCTAAGGAATTTCTACGGATATGACATTTTAAATCTGTAATAAGCTCAAATAAACTAAGGTCCCAAAATCATGCTTTATTTATTGAATCTATGTAAACCATCCATTCATCCATCCATTTTCCAAACCGCCTGTCCTCTAGGTTGCTAGGATGCTGAAGCCTATCCCAGCGTCTCGGGTCGCAGGCTGGGGAAACACTCTGGACAGATGGCCTTCTTGAGTACACTATACACTTACCAGAACACGAAAGAGATTTACTTAGACCAGATTTGTCAAATGACATAATTATGTGGGATAATGTCAACTTTCACAGCAGCAACATTGTTGGGAAATGGTTTGCTGAGCATGAAAGGATAACACTAGAGTTTCTTCCACCATACTCCCCTTCCTGAATCAGATATTTCAGCATGGGGATGGAAAGTGTATGACTAGAAGGCACAAGATCAGATAACTAAGTTGAATGTCATGAATGCTGCTTGTGAGGACATCACAGATCATCATCGCAAAGATATTTTCCCCTGCTGCATCACAAAAGAAACATCAGATGTGATGTTGACGAAAATCTCTGGCAAGAATAACAAGAATGACAGGATGTTCACCTAGAAGATGGGAACTTTCAGCGTTATGTACAGTGAGGAGGTACAATTTAATGGTTTTGTATATATATATATATATATATCTCATCTATCCAGGGAAGTCTGAAGTCACAATGATTTCAACAGAGCAGCATGCATGTCATGCTTTCAGATCCTCAACATCCCACAGCTGACTTAATCAAACACAGACCATCTCAAAGTCCTGCTTCCACCCCCTTATCTGATTGGCTAGTGTGGAGCATTGGAAAGAGTTATGCAGGGAACGCCTCTATTCCCATAAAAATGTAGGCAACTTTAAAAAAAGCATCATTTTGGATCTTAGTCCACTGTCTAGAGCAAAATGGCCTCAGCTCATGACAGAGCAGTTTTACAGGTCATCTTTAACCCTAGCAGCCCTTTTGGAGATATCCCTGGATTAAATCAAGAAGATGAGCTGACAGACAATGGTAAGATGAAGGTCCATAATTAGATAACATATGCAAAGTTTGTGTATGATGATGACCAGTAGTCTCTCACTTAATGTTATATTGCGATAGATAGATAGATAGATAGATAGATAGATAGATAGATAGATAGATAGATGTCACAGTTTACTT